TCTGACCCATCATAACCTTGACTTAGTTGTTGTTGTTTTTTTGTTTTTTGTTTTTTTTGCTTTTGATGTGGGGTGAAGGGGGTTTCTCTTTGGATCAAACCCAGGGCATCGAGTATGCTAAGTACATGCTCTTTCCATGAAGTTATATCCCCAGCCCTTCATATACTTTTTCAAGTTTGAATACCCAAATCTCTGCTTTCCAGCGGCTAACTTTATATATACCTAAAGGGTATCATCCTTTACCTACCAACCACCCCATTCCAAACCTCACTGCCAATTGTATAGATTTTAGACATTTCGATGGGCATTTAAAGCCCTTCATAGGGCACCAAAACTTCTCTAGCATTATCTTCCATTACAGTCGTTCACAAATCCTTATTTTGCTTATTCATTTATTCACCACCTATTTTGAGCAGCTATGGTATGCGTGGTGTCATTCTAGATGCTGGAGACATTGAAATAAATAGATAAAAATCCCTGCCCTAGTGAACAAATAAGAAAATGAATAGTAGGTCAGATGGTGATGAATATAGCGAAGAACAGAAAAGCAGGGAGGTGGACTAAGGAATTGGAAGAGGGTAAAATCCTAGAGTGGTCAGGGTGTACTCCACTGAAAGGTAATATTTAAGCAAAAGAGTGAGGAGGGTGAGAGAACCAGCCCAGTAGCAGCAATCCCAGTGAGACATGTTAAAATAAGGGAGAGTACCTGCCGGAGCCAGAGGGGGGCACACATCTCATAAGCGCGAACACCAGTAGGGAAGCCAGTAATGCTGAGTCCTAGACGGGCAAGATCATGTAGGGTTTTGTGGGCCCCTGTAAAGACTCTGGTTTCTCCTTTGAATGAGGCAAGAAGCCAGTTAGAGGGTATGGGAAATTATGTTCCCCAAGATAGCTGTTAAAATCTCACACCTCACAGTCTTTTCCATGATGACCTTGCTACTTCCCTAGGAAGAGAACAGGTGGATGGATAAAGAAAATGAGGCACACATATGATACAACACTATTTAGCCTCAAAAAGGAAGGGACTCTTGCAATATGTAACAATTTGTACGAACCTGGAGGACACTCTTAAGGGAAATAAGCCAGACAGAAAGATGAATATCATATGATCTCACATATGATATCTTTGAAAAGTCAAACTCAGAAGCACAGAGAACTGTGGTTACCTAGAGGATTGAGATAGAGTTGGGTGATATTAGTCAAAGAACACAAACTTTCATTAAAACAGGAGGAATAAGTTCAAGAGATCCATTGCATAACATGGTGACTATTGTTAATGTATACTTAAAAATTGCCAGGAAGATTAAGTATTCTCACCATAAAAAGAATATGTATCTTAATTAGCTTAACTTGACCATTCCAGAATGTATACCTGTTTCAAAACACCTTATTCGATACCATAAGTATATACAAGTTTTATTTGTCAATTTAAAAAAATCAGCAGACACACTATAAGGCCTGATTAACATGTGAATCAATACCTTTGGAAAACATTAACTGAAGGACTTGAATTATATGTATCTAACAGAAGGAGAAAAAATACCATGATTTTCAATTTTACCTTTTATTAAAGTACAGAGTTAACAAGTTTTGCATTTTCTACATAGGAAAAGACTGATCAACTTCAGATGCTATATAGAAAAATTAGCATTCAAAAAACAAATACAAATTCATAATCAGCTTTGTAACTAAAAGGAAAAATAACTATTTCAAAAGTTAGCAAAACCTAACCATATCACAGACCTTTATAAACTTCGAACAGTAGATTTACCACACCTATTGCAGTTTCAAATTCTAATATAGCAAAACGTAACCACAAAATTTGGCTACAGCTAATTGTTCCAAAAAAGTTTAAAAAATTAACAAAGTTATGACTATAAAATTGTCGTTTTTCTTTGCAAAATAAAAAAAGCTTAAATCTTTAATAAAGGAAGACAAAACAATCCTCTTAAATTTCTTATAAATAGCTCTCAAGACATATATTACTCATCTGTTGTAAGCTTTCTTTACCTGAGGGAATTTCCCAAGATCCTTTATCACAAAGGATTACCTTTGAACAGTTCTATCATTTTATTCACATGAATATGATTAAACTTCTAAGGAAGTTGGACATACGCATTTTTAATCTTCCCTTCCCCAATTAAGTTTTTTTCTGAAAGGATTTCGTTTTAAAACAAAACCAAAAAGCTTCTTTGGTAAAAGCCAAATATTTCAACCTTTCAAAAATGACCGACTCTGTGAATATCTACTGAAGAAGAGAGATCTAAAGATCCGTGTGAATAGCTCTGTCATCCCGTGAAGTCACAAGTCCAACCTGAGAGAACCCTTCTCTGCCTGAAATGTAAAACTCAGCTTATTCGCAAGATGCAGAGAACATCCCATGGAAAATTCCATGAGCCAAGTGGCTACCTGCACTATCCTTGACGGAGGAGGGCCCACTGGTCTTTCTAGGTGTTCAGGGTCTTATTAGCTCAAGGCCAGAACCCTCTTGGTTGGGGGCAAAGCCCTCTTTCAACTCCAAGAGTTGTAGGATGTGAGTGTACAACAAAACGAGATCTTATTTAGAAAGGCAATAGAAAGAGGAAAAAAAAAGCCCAGGAAGCTTAAATACAGGCCCTGGAATTCCCGTCACAGGATAACATGAAGCACCAATGATGATAAACTGTCTGGCAAAAATTAAATAAGAACGTCATCTTAAAAAGGCAGAGAACAACAATTTGGGGAGAGGGGTGATTAACTGGAGGCTGAGGTCATTCACAGTGAAGGATCCTCTGAGGAATTGCAAGTCCTCAATGTGGGAACTCCCTTGCTGGCCATTACTCACTGGAAACAGAAACCCTAAGAGTCCCAGTGACTCCACCCTCCCTCCCGCCTACACCCGTAGTCTATCTACTCAATAAACCTCTGGCAAACAATTTGTAGACAATTTCCCAAGAAACTGTGAAGACAAAACCGTAACCAACCAACTAGTATTACAAAAGCTCAACTCAGTAATGACATGGCAGGTTTTCTGAAGACTTGAGATTTAGAAGATGGTCTCTCGTCTTCATTCAGGTTACATGTCTCCCTACAGTGACATTCTTAGGAGTCTCCCTCATGAAAATGAGAGGGAGAAATTTTCCACATCACATGAATGGCACAGGGGAAACAGACACACAGTCTCTTAACATCTTCAGCTTTCATCTCCAGAGGAGCCTGACCAGCAGCTTCAGGAAAGGCACCTTTGTAATCAGGTACAAAAACTTGGAGGAAGCAAAAGTCTGTTATTTTTTTTTAAAAAGACATCAGTGAGTTAAATGAACACCACTGTTATTGCAACTTGAAGCAACTGGCACAATTTTTCCAGTTTCTTAAGTCTCAATAACACAAAATGTAGTTTTTTTTTAAACTATCAATGTTGATTCATCACCTGAATATTGTTTCTCATTGTTCATAATCATTAAAGTTGACTTCTTGTCTCTACACCCTAGGTTCTCAGAGTGCAGCCATCTATCTGTGGCCATCCCAGAACCTTGCTAACACTGTCGGTTGAGAATAAAAATGAGAAGGACCATCATCAGACCTTCAGAGGAGAACACTGTGCCACAAACCAAGAGCTGTGCGGCTGCACAACGGGGGTGGGCTGGGCTGGCTAAGATGGAAGCTGTGAGGGGCATTATCCTCATTTATGTTTCCCTGAGCCTCTTTCTACAGAGCAAAGGGGCCAACAAAGGCCAGCCCAGGATGCATGGCCTTGTCAGTGGGACCCTGACCTGGCGTAAGGGCCAGTTCTAAAATTACCCCAGCTGGCTGCCAGACCCAGATGGGAAGACAAATCAAGAACTCAACTAGACCTCGGCAGGAAGAAATCCAAAGAAACTGCCTGTGATTCTACCTTGGCTATTAAAGGGCTTCTTATGGTGTTTCCTAAAGGTGACCTTGGCTGACCCAGAGGCTCCAGGTCACTGCACCAGGCACTGAAGTGGCCTCTACCAGGGGGCTGCCATACACAGCCTCATTTCCTAGACTGTCACTAATTCATGGAGCTTGCTCTCCAGTGGCTTCACTAGAGTCACTCAGACTTGGTGTGTTCAACTGTTTATTTGGTGACTTTGGATGCAGCTTTGAACTGCTCAGCATGGAGTTCTGTCCTACAAAAAAAAAATATGCACACACTGACATAGGCATACATTAAGGGCCTTTTAAAACTGAATATCAAACACTATAAAAAAGGCGAATTCCTAAAGGAATTCACCCCTGTCTTTGTTTCCTCCTTGGTATTTTTGAGAAGAGGGCAAATGAGTGAGTAGAAAAGAAAAATCTGAGTAATTTCCCCCACTAGCACGTTGGCTCATGGGAGCCAGGTTTAGGTGAGACTCAGTTCTGCTCAACTCATACAGAGGGGCACAGAAAAAGGGTCTAGGCCAAGTCTCCAAGGAGCTTCAAAAAGAGTCTCATGGCATTTCCACTGGTGTGAACTCAGGGATTGAACTTAGGGGTACTTGGCCATTGAGCCACATCCTCAGCCCTATTTTGCATTTTATGTAGAGACAGGGTCTCCTGACTTACATAGCGCCTTGCTTTTGCTAAGGCTGACTTTGAACTCATGATCCTCCTGCCTCAGACCCACAAGCCACTGGAATTACAGGCATGTGCCACTGCGCCTGGGTCCACTGGTGTCTTTACTGGAGTTACACTCAACAAATCTCCTCCCTGATAAGAACATCCAATACTGAAAATGTGCATCTCACATAGCTGCCAAAAGTCAATTCTCGTTTTATTCTACAAATATGTATTTTGGAAATTTCTCTGGATGTTGTTTATGGCTTAATTAAATATCTCCAACCACCCACCTCTTCTTCTAAGGATATTTAGTTACTCCACAGCTTCTAACAGACTTGTCTGGTCAGCCCTGTTTGAGAGGCCACCTGGGATTTTCACCTCAGCAAATCTACTCCAAGGAAATGAAACCACAATGGACATTAATAGTGTGGTCACATTACAAATTCAGGAAACAAAAGCTCTTTTGCTTTTTTAATTTCAAAGGCTTCAAGGTGGAGGAGAAGCTGAGGGGCTAACCTTTACACCTGAAAGAGGGGTGCAGCAGATTTCAGCCAAGAAGAAACTTTTTGTTAAGGTCCTTAAAGTATTATTAATTATAGCACGAACAAGTAAGAACCATAGTTCTCCATCACTTAGGCAAAGAAAACATGAATGTTGTTCTAGAATCACATGAACACCACCATGGATAAGTGCCGTACTTATTGCAGTAAGTTGGATCAGGTAGTGTTAACATGATGGGGAAATACATGGATAGTGATGGCAAATTGTGCTTTTCACATTATTACAAAGATGCTAAACCCAGAAAGGATGAGGGGACCTCTGGAAGGCCAAGGGCAGAGAGGGAAGGCTGTGATTCCCAGCATCACAACCACAAAGGGAAACACTTGGGAACCACGAGGAGGCAGCACTGAGAGTGGATTTAAAGGCAGGTGCTTCCTCTTGTTCCCTATAAATACCAGGGAGCTGTGAGCAGAGCCCTTTGGGGAAAAGGCTCCAGGAGGTGATTTAGGAGATGAAAGTAAGAGAGACAGGGGTCTGGATTCTCTTGGGGGCTGGAGACTCAACATTTTGCTTTCTTTTTAATTCCAAGAATGGGAATAAAGGTCACACAAGATAATTTTTATCCCTGTAAAAAGATGTTATACCATTCTTTTGGTGACAGCATACCCAAGTACCACTACCCAGTTCCTAAGGGTAAGACATAAAAATGCATGTATCACAAGTTCAGGTTGGTTGGAAATTTCAATTTCTTCAGGACAAATTGGTAGTTTCTTTCTGAATTTCAGAATTAAAAAAGCTCATCTGGGTTTTTTGTTTGTTTGTTTGTTTGTTTTTTCCTTATCCCCCTGAAAGCTTTTTCAGACACACTTAAGATAGCCAGGGGATATCAGCTTTTCATAAGGCGCCAGTTGCTGCTCAGACCCTGGTACTCTGATTCAAAGGACAGCTCTTTCAGCACAGCCTGCTGAGCGAAGTGGCCAGCTGCCATCCTCACACGGAGAACTGCCGAGAGGGACAGCAGAGGGGAGCGACCAGCGTCCACAGGTACAGCAGCACGCACACCCAGCAGGAGGCCATCTTGATCCAGAAGATGGACCAGCTCCCACTGAAGAAGGTCTCAATGCTGGCACTTTCATAGCTGTTGGAAAGAAGACATCCAGCCATCAGAATAGAAAGGAAATGAGGGGAGAGTCTCTGCCATTAAGGGCCTCCTTGCTTCCTGTCCTCACTAAACTTTCTTTAAAAAAAACAAAAAACAAAAAACAACCCACTGGAGGTATAACTCACACCCATTTAGAATGCATAATTCAATGGCTTTTAATAAGCTCACAGACTTGTGTATCATAACTACTATCAATTTTGTAACATTCTCATTACACCAGACCTGCACACCCCTAGTTTCCCTACCAAGCTCAGTTCCCAGTTCCGCCTGCATTCATTAATCTATTAATCTGTCTGTATGGACTGGCCTACTCTGGACATTTCATAGAAATGGAATCATGCAGACTCTGTGACTGGCTTCTTTTTTTCTTAGCACATTGTTTTCCATACTCTTTTCAGGAGGTAGTATGTATCAATACAGGTTGAGTATTCCTTATCTGAAGGCTTGAACCAGAAGTGTTTCAGAGTTTGGAGTTGTCTCAACTTGTTTGATAATTTACGATAGATTTTGGAATATTTGCATGGACATTACTGGATGAGCATTATTAATCTGCAAGTCCAAAATCTTAAATGCACCAAAATAGGAAGCTTTTTGAGTGTAATATTAGATTTTGAAGCATTTCAGATTTCTGAATTAGAGATATTCAACCTTGCTTCATTCCTTGTTATCATTGCATAATATTTCATTATATAGACTTGGCATATTTTTTAATCATCAGTTGTTGAACATTTGGCTTATCTCTGACTTTACACTGTTATGAATCATGCTGACATTAATATCTGTGCACAACATTTTATTTTTTAATTTTTTTTAAATAGATTTTTTTTTAAATTTATTTTTAAATTTTCGGTGGACACAACATCTTTGTTTGTATGTGGTGCTGAGGATCGAACCTGGGCCGCGCGCATGGCAGGCGAGCGCGCTACAGCTTGAGCCACATCCCCAGCCCCTGCACAACATTTTAAATGAATATAATTTTTTTTTTTTTTTGGTACTGGGGATTGAATTCAGGGGCACTCAACCACTGAACCACATCCTAAGTCCTATTTTGTATTTTATTTAGAGATAGGGTCTCACTGAGTTTCTTAGCACTTCATTTTTGCTGAGGCTGGCTTTGAACTCGTGATCCTCCTGTCTCAGACCCCTGAGCTGCTGGGATTATAGGTGTGCACTACCATGCCCAGCCATAATTTTCTTTTTGTCTTTTGTTTTATACTTCAGAATGGAATCACTGGGTCATATTTGTGTTTAACCATTCTAGGAACTGCCAAAATATCTTCCAAAGCAGCTTCATTTTACATTTCACCAGCAACACAAGAGGGTTCCAATTTCTCCAAATCCTCAACAACATTTGTCATTATCTGCCTTTGTTATTACAGCTCTCTTCACCCTTTCTTCTGCATCCCAAGTCAAAATTCCCCAGGAATTCTCAAAGCATCACAGGGGAGCATTACAAGTTCCTTCCCCTCCCTCATGGAGACATTCGGGATGGTAGGCATGGTGATCCCAGCTACGCAGGAGACTGAAGACCGAAATTTAAGGCCAGCCTGGGCAACTTAGTGGGAGCCTTACTCAAACTAAAAACTAAAAAGCTCAGTAATGGAGCATCCCTGAGTTCAATACCAAGTATCACATACACAACAAAGGCATGTTTAGGAAGAATGTCCTCAAAGAAGTCTTTTCCTATCAATGGGTCTGAACTTCACCCCCAAACAACTGGTATTTTTCATCCCCTTGCCTCATTTTAGTTTTATACCCAGTGCACCTCATTTTATGACACTGTAATTGACTTGAATCATGATGTGTCTCTCCCACTAAGCTATCAGTCCTGCTACCTATAGCAGGGTGACACAGAGGATCCATTTGCTGAATCAAAGACAGTACAGAGAGCCTGCTATCTCTCTAGTGTCTATCCTAAGTTATCAAACAAATTGTGAAACAATGGAAACTTTGGAACAGTTTGAAAAGTATGAATTTCCACATAGTAACAGAGAAAGTCAGGTCTGTTACATAGCAATAACTTAAAAACTAGAAAAAAAAATCAGTACAGTGACACATGCCTGTAATCCCAGCTCCTCAGGAGGCTAAGACAAGATCATAAGTGCAAGGCTAGCCTGGGCAACTGACGAGAACCTGTCTCAAAATAAAATTTAAAAAGAGCCAAGGATGTAGTACCCAGGTAGAGAGCCCTGCATTCTATCCTAGTACTGCACAAAGAAAAAAATTAAAAAGAGACAACATTTGAAGTAGGAAAAACAAAAAAAGGATATTTTCTTCTTTTAAAAAAAGTATTTTCCTCCATTGCTATTACTGTGTTTTTTAGTCAGCCTTGTGGAGTTCATCCATTATTTCTCTTTTATTTCTGGGTGCTGGGGATGGAATCCAGGGACTCTCACTCTGCCTTTGAGCTAGACCCCCACTAACCTTCCAACTCTTAATGCTGCAGGAAGCACCACCAATTCCCAGGGTGAAAAGGATGCTGATCGACAGGTAAGGACTGTTTGTTCTTAAGGCTATGGGTACGGCAAGACCTGGAGAAGGGTTTAGTTCCTCCAGGAAGTCTGAGCTGCATCCTGGCACTTAACTTAATTTTTTGAATAATCAAGTGGGTCACTCACTGGAACCAGTTGGTAACAGTCATCATCACATACAGGGAAGCCAAAAAGAACACGAAGTGGAAATAGGAATAGCTGTAGACAGTGCCTCTCTTCTCATCATAAATGACCCGAGGTCCCTCTTTTACATTCTGCTGCTCTTCGGTGTCTGCAAATCACAAAGGGGGCCCAAACGAAGAGGGTCAACATGAGCACACCTCCGGTCTTAGCACTCATTTCTGTCCCAGTAGCTGCTGAGCAGAAAAAACTATCCAGAGCCATCTTGCCCCCCACCCTCACCCCATACATAACTCCCTTGATCAGAAGAGTCACCAAGCACCATATTTATGTTAGCAGAGCAAAAGAAAGAGAGCCCTTAAAGACATAAAGCATATTAGAAGCAGAAAGGGAGAGAATAGCCTCTGGGACCCTCCCTTCCAAAAGAGCAGTAGTTCAAGGAACAAAATGGCCCTAAAATGAGATGTCAGGACCTCTTGGATTTTCCAAATCCTTCCTTTAAAACTGTATGTTCCACTTTTCTAAGTCTTATTGTATAAGTTAACTTAAATACGAGTCAGAATACAGACTGATTTTCCCCACCAGAATATCCACACACACAAAGCTCCTTGAGGAAGAATGAGAAAGTGTTGTGGAACATAAATTTCCCCCTTATTGTTCAAGACATTAATATCTGAATTGCAAATGCCTACAGTGAGAGCTGCGAGCCCACAGGGCCCAGGGACACACGGAATGAGAGTATGCCACTTACCCACTCCATCAGGCCCGAAGCAGAAACAACACCGAGCTACCTGGGAAAGCAAACGAAACACTGTCAGACGCCTGGTTTTTGCTCGCTATTTCCTCATCAGTAAAGAACTAGGGGACACCCACGTGCCAACCCTGCCCTGCTGGAACCACGTCTGAGGCCCTGAGCTACACACTTCATCCCCTCAGAAGAAATGATTAAGCCCATGCTGTTTCCCAGATAGGCCAGGTGCTGGTGACTGGAAACACCATGGACATGGAGATGTGTCACCCAGACCTCCTCAAAGGGCTTGGTGCTCCCCCCACTGAGTGCTGGGAATAGAGCCTCCAGATAACAGCACCCTAATACTGCATGTCAGCAGCAGATCCGTCCAGCCCCACAGCCAGCGCCTGCCCACAGCAAGCCCTACCTGGGCTTCCCCCAAGGAATGATAGACCATAGCAGGCAGAGAAGAGCCTGCTATTAGAACCATCATAAAATTAGGACCCCCAGGAAAAACATGCTCTGGGTCATACGAGCACCCTCTGTGGTTAACAAGGCTTTTCCAGCCTATCCTGTCTTTCAACTTCACCCTCTGCCCAACTCTGCCACCTCATAAGACAACAGTCCCCCTCTTCTTGCACTCCCTGCTAGTATGACCTCATCAAATCCTCTTTAACCTTTGAGATTGGGACTATTATTCTGTTTACAGTTGTAAAAACCAAGTTAAATAACTGGCCTGTTAAATAACTAGCTCAGTGTCACAGGATGGAGACCACAGGGTCTATGATTCATAAGAAGTGAGACAGGATACTAACAAGAGTAAAGCTGACAGAATCTGAAATGGGCAAGTTAAGGAATTTGGAAGGACAAGGCCTGTCTACATTTCCTATCAAGACAGTCTGGGAAATGCGGGGTCATCAAAATTTTTTGGCAGAAGGCATATGAAGTACAAAAAAACCCAGCCAGGCCCAAGGATGTGGGAGCTCTGGACTTTGTCCTGTTTGAACCCCTCCAGGCCAAGTCCTTGTTTCCCTCCTGAGTGGTGAGTAAACATGTAATAGAGGTATCAGCCTTGACAGAGCCTTGGAGAGTGTGACGTGGTCTAAGATTCAATATGCTAATTCACTCAGTGAGCCCAAGACCCGGTAGGCTGAGGTCCTAGTTCTTTTGAAGCTTAAGTTACCACAAGAAAATATCAGCCCTTTCTTTTAAAAGGTGTATCCTGTGAAACTGGAGAACAAACTGACTTGCTCAGAGGGAAACCCACTGGGCCGTTTCCCCACAGAGTGAGAAGAACAACATCCTCTCTTAAACCTAACTTAGAGACTTGTTTTTCTTTGAGCTTGCACTCTGTACACAATAGGGACATTGAAACCATAAGCATCCAGCCTCAGCAGGTGGCCACCCAGTCAGTTGTGAGAACAAATGCCTGCCTTAGAGACCATTCTTTTCTGTATAGTAGGCAGCAACCTATTCAAAGTCCTCACAGTTTTCTCCTTTAAGTGACAGAAAGAGTTGGTGAATGATGCTGGCAGAGTGACAAGCCTTCATAATGCTCCACTATGTTGGGGTCAGGTGCAGGAAAGCCCATCCCTAGACACCCAGATGCAGAGTAAAGTGCTCATAACTGGACAGACACCAGGGCTCTTCCATCCAGAGAAAATCATTAAAATGCAGACAGTGGCTGGATGCCAGGCAAGGCCAGCAGCAAGGACCAGGAGACATCAGCTGAGCGCCTGGGCAGCATGGTCAAGAACACGGACACTGGGGCCACAAATTGAAATTCTGGCAAATTGAAACTTGCAAGTTTAAATGACTTAACTTTTCCATTCCCCTCCCCCCCCCGTGATAATGGAGATACAGTTAGCACCTCACTAGGTTTTGATTTTGGTTTGTGTGTGTGTGTGTGTGTGTGTGTGTGTGTTTTGTTTTTTGTTTTTTTTACAACATTTAAAAAGAAATCATATATGGAAAGCTTAGAACAGTGCCTGGCACATCAAGTACTATCCATCCTAGCCACCACTGGAACCCTTGCTCCATGCCATTTGGGGGGTCAGAACTGAGTCTTTTCCTGGCCACCTCCATTTGCTTAGACCTTTCTAGCCTTAGTCAATACCCTAGAAAGAGACTTTAACCACCTTAATTCTTGGGACATGCAGGAGAAGGAACTGATGGGCCTGAAATCAGTGCACTTATTGTTCATAATTCTTTACCCAATGACATGCCCACCTGATGGACCTGATGCAGTTAGGTGAGCCCATGCATTTACCTGTTCAGAAGTGTCTGCGCAGGACACGCAGTTCCCTCACTTTCCCATCTTTCTCTCTCCCTTCAAAACAGCTGTTACATAACCTCATATTTACACTGTATATGTAGGGCACATCAGAGAGAAAACAAATGAGTGGAGCAAGAATTAACACACACACACACACACACACACACAAACACACACTGTTTTATGACCAAAGAAAAATTATGCCAGTCTCTGATGGAGGGTGGGCAGCAAGATGCCATGCAAGAGGCCAATACTATTGAAGGAAAAATTAAGAATTACTTCTTTATTTGTGTGTGTAGGGTGTGTGTGCGTGTGTTGGGTATGGAACCCAGAGCCCTCTGCTTGCTAAGCACTACCACTAATCTATATCCCCAATCTAGCTGATTTATGTAATCCCATACTATATATAGGAAAGGATGTGTGTGTATATATTTTATATTATATACATATAAATATGTATATATGTAAATTTTATATATATATATATATTATTCTTTCCCGAGCAGATAAAGAGGATCATGAAATGCAGATTAATAAAGACACAAACACAAAAGACCTTCCTGAGAAGTGGATCTGAAGCAGGAAAAGAAACAAACTTACTTCCAGTTCAGGAGCTGCATATCGCCCCTGCAGAGCATCAGAACTTGATCTTGTTGTTGATGTCAAACTAAGAAACAAACAAAACGTCAGCAGGACATATTAACATGGTCTGTTGCTTAGAACGAGGGAAAACTGCATGGCCACTGATCCAGTGAGAGACTTACTTATAAGCTGTTGCTTAAACAAAAGTAGAGTTGCTGTCCTGGCCTCATCTGCAGATTAAATCAACTGCAGATCAAAAATATCTGGGGTGGTAATGTCTATGGTGAACATGTAAAAAAAAAATCCCTTTTCCTTTAATAACACAATATAATAACTATTTATATAGCATTTGCATTGCATCAGGTACTATAAATAATCTGAAGATAATTTAAAGTATAGGGAGGATGTTCCTGAATTCACCACATCATCTTATTCAGGGGCCTTGAGCATCTACAGATTTTGGTATCCATCTCAGGGTGATGAAGTCCTGGAACTCATTAATCCCTACAGACACTGAGGGTTAGCTGTAGTCTTTTTTTTTTTTTTTTTAATACTAGGGATTGAACCCAGAAGTGCTTTTCCTCTCAGCTACATCCCCAGCCTTTTATTTATTTATTTTTTAAATTTGAGACAGGGTCTCACTATGTTGCTTAGGGCCTCACTAAGTTGCGGAGGCTAACCTCTAACATGCAATTCTCCTGCCTCAGCCTCACAAGTTGCTGGGATAACAGGATGAGCCACTATGCCCTGGAGTAGTCTATTCTAATATCCCACTTTATTCCTAAATTGACTGTCCAAATTCTTCAGCTGATATCTTTTTACATGCATTGCATTACATCATTTTATGCAAAGGGAGGTATAGAGAAATACGATTGCCTTTTGGTCCTCTATCTTGGCTTTTGGTATTGGTTTTTGCCTCTTCTCCCTCTAATGTCAAAATAATTTTCTGATTTCACCTTTGTTTTTCCTTCCCTATGAGTAGTCTTACTTAGAGGGACTCAGAAGCTATGAGGGAACCCAGAGGTAGCAACAGAAAGCAAAAGTACGAATGCAAAACTCAAAGTCATTTACTGTGATAGTCGCCTATGCCAGAAGGACATTTCCCTTTGGAAATTTAACACAGAATAGCTTTCAGTATAGTTTAAAAAAATCTTTTTATAATTTTCCCCACATCTAGAGAGGCAAAATGTTATACAATTTGGTTTACAAGGGTAAAGCCTTATTTTCTCTAAAAACAAAAACATAGAAACATTTTAAGCAAATATAAATATATACAATACTTAGGGTTCCAGTATTAACTTGATAGATTCATTAGCAAATATGTAATGAAGTTCTGTTGTAGGTCAGGCTCCCTTCTGAGCACTGGGACTTAGAAATGAAAAAGGAAACAATCCCGCCTCACAAAGCTTCCTAGCTAGCTCAGAGATGGGTGACAAGTGTTGCTCTCAGGAAGCTGGTTGCTAGTGGACAGGCACAGAGACTCATTTTGATCCAGTAAACCCCATGAGGCAGCATGGCCTTCTTTGCTCATTTTCTTCTTTCCCAAAGAAAGATCAATGAGCTACAGAGAAACAATAAAAAACCTTGCTCACAAAGAGGTCCTCTGGGATCCACCCACTTTGCTGTTCTATAGCCCACACAAGTCCAACAGCCTCACTTTCATTTCTGCTTTGAAGTGATAGATGCTAGTGCAGGCCTACTCCATTCCCACTTCCTGACTTGGAAAGCACACATCTGCCCCTGCACTTATTTAAGAGTGCCTAATATTTTGTTCATATGAATTATGTTTTAGTATAGTATAGAGTTTTCTCAGGGGAAAATGTCATTTTGGGGAGGGGGTACTAGGGATTAAACTCAGAGGCACTCAACCACTGAGCCACATCCCCAGCCCTATTTTGTATTTTATTTAGAGACAGAGTCTCACTGAATCGATTAACACCTTGCTTTTGCTGAGGCTGACTTTGAACTTGAGATCCTCCTGCCTCAGCCTTCCAAGCTGCTGGGATTATAGGGGTACGACACCAGACCCAGCTGTAACTTTTAATTTTAAGATGAGATTGACACCTGAAATTTTCATCTGAAAGATGATAAATGAATATTCTTCAAGAGATACACTTAATTGTTAATTGTAATTCCATTTAAAATTTTTTTTAATAAGACTGTTTCAGAAAGACAAAGCTTCAGATTCGAACACATTTGTCACTTCCTTTCTGCTATCAGAGAGCACCAAACATGGGGAAGGTTTTATTTTGATTTCTAAAATATTAATCTCCAGTTCATCATTTAGTGCCATGATTTTTTTAATATTTATTTTTTAGTTGCAGTTGAACACAACATCTTTATTTTATTTATTTATGTTTATGTGGTGCTGAGGATTGAACCCAAGGCCTTGCACATGTGAAGCGAGTGCTCTGCAGCCCTAGCCCTTAGTGACATGATTTCTATAAGTAGATGTTAACATAAAATAAGTTAATATTCAGTCATAATATTCATAATATTCAGTCATAGCCTTTCCCCAAGTAAAACTCTCTTCTTGGAGTTATCAAGAACATATTGATTTTGCAAGCTCTTTAAGCTAGGAAATTCTTATTGTCTGCATGCAGGCTGTTACAAAGACCCATCTGTTTGGTCAGCATAGCACAAGTAGCTATAAAAGAATCCCCAAGTTCTCTTAAGGTCTTCTCTTCTAGGGCTAAGGTATGTGTGACTTTAACCTGGAACTTCCTGAAGGAATAGGGGGAGACTAAGAGCCTATGGCCCAGGCAATGCTTCATCTTCAGAGAGCATCTAACTCACTGTAGCATGTTCACCATCCCAGGATCCACAAATGCCAGTAGAGCCTCATAGACATTAAGAAATACCCCAAAATGTTGCTCTCCTTCCCTCCCCCTACCACTGAGTTAGCCCAATCTCTTCCACATTGGCAGAAGGATGCACAATGCAGGTTCCCCTTAGTACCTGCTTCAGTTGATTTTGGAGCCAGCCAAAGTCCTTTGGGTTATTGAAAATCTCTAAGGAACATGTGCAGACTTTGCTACTAGATGTCATAAATCCTGTCCTCCCTGACAAACTCACAAGGCAGGCCTAAGAGGGATGGACTTATAGAAAGAAGCCCTGCAAGTGGGCCAAGGTGAGATGAGTCCAAGTTGGGATGCTCCTTCACAGCCATCATTCCTGGGTGCAAGGGATGGGGGCTCTGGAGACGTGATGGCCACAGGTGGAGAGGCAGGAAGTAAGTTTTGGCTGAGCCCTTCTTCCTTCTTCCTAGCTGAGATGGCACTGAGTACAATATGCTCTCATTGATGTCGCAGTAGCAGCCCTCATGAGCCAGAGAGAGAGAGCCCTCAAAAAGATAAGTGTCTGAGTGGTGGACCAGGGAGACTCCAGAGATGTGAGAAGAAGAGAGCTCAGTGGGCTGAGCCTTCCAGAACCTCACAAAAAGTGAACCCCAGGCAATCTGGGCCTTGCAATGAATGCTGGTGATTTTTGTCTCCCTTTAATTTGTACACTACTCAATCTCCCAGCTTCCTACAATTTCTATCAAGAATTATAGATATGTCTGCAATCATGTTCAAATGACAGTTTCCATCCAGACAATGTGGCCCCTTTTTGTAACCCTCATCCAACCCCTCATTCTCTTTGAGCCATGGAGGAAAATGTAAACTCAAAGAAGAACTGAAAACCCCCAAATGGGCCAAGGCCCATCACTTCTGTGAGAGGCCGATTTGTAATTTGTTTAGACGGATTTGTGATTTGTTTAGAGCCTTCTCAAAGCTGACACCTCCTGGGGCTACAGTGAGTAATTACAGCAAACATTAATCATCAGACCCCCATATGGCACTTCACTCACTCTTGAGAGGAATAAACTGTCCATCTGCACCGAGCGTGTTCATGCCTCTGGGTTAAAGAAACATCTCACAGAGTAGGCTGGTTACCCTCAGCTCCACTTTGTGTGAGCTGCTATTTTCTATCTCATCACCCCATTGGCTACTACAGTTTTACAGCTTAATTCATGGCATTTAATAAGCTTTGTGATTGGCTTTTAGACAGATTTTAAATGGTAGCTGTCAGCTTTGAAAATTGACATCTTTGGTGAATATCAGATTAGCCCTGCCTGTCTTCCATTGTAATGCCTTAATTTTGAAAGAGACATTTTATATATCATCTCTCACTCAAGGGCAGATTCAAGGGTGGCTAAAAAGTGATTCTTTGTGCTTACTAGAAAACCCAAGATGTGACTGAGTGAAAATTCCATGCTATAAAATAACTCCAATTCCACGTGGTAATTTTACACAACATATTAAGTAAAATCTTTGCTATCTTTTTTATAGCAAATTCAAATTCTATTTTGTCTAAGTGGTAAACTACCCCGCATCCCATAACCCATTGACCATCCAGCCCTGTTTTGCTCGGTGGGTTAGAACACACCTGTAATCCCAGCAGCTCAGAAGCCTCAGTAACTTAGCAAGGCCCTAAGCAACTTAGTGAGACTCTGTCTCAAAATAAAAACATTAAAAATTTTTTAAATGGCTAAGGAATGTGGCTCAGTGGTAAAGCACCTCTGGATTCACCATCCAGTACCAAAACAAAACATATGGTTTTACTTTGTAAAATAATTTTGTATTTTTTTTTTGTAATACAAAAATTAAAAAGAAATGCTATCTCACTGTAAAAAAAAAAAAAAGCTTGTTAAGAATAAAAATGGGGCAGGGAGAAATACAAGTTATCTCTAATGCCACTATTATTATAAGTGGTTTATTTTCTTTCTGGATTTTTTCCTACATGTGTAGATACAGCTATATTTTATTTTAAAAGTGGATATGCGGTTTAGTAACCTACTTTTCTTCCCCTGATTTACAAGCATTTTGCCTGCCAATACAGAAAACAACTCAGTGAGAAATCATGAATTGAGCTTGTTGCTGCCATTTCCCCTCAAAGCCCAACAATAACAGACTCAGGAAGGAAAAGCTTACTCAAGGAAGGAAGAGCCAAGAATCAGAATTCAAAATCTCCATAACTTTATGGGTATTTTCAAATGTTCCATTGAATTGGGCCTGAATTCCATTTGCTAATTTGTAGAAAGCAGGTACTTGGTGAACAATGTGTGGAATAAATACAAAAGAAAGCACAGAAAGTGGCCACTACGGTTCCTTCTGCTGCAACAAAGAGACTCTGTCACTATGTGACAGACTAAGGACCAATATAGGACCAACATCATTCTAACTACCTGCAACACAGCAAGTGTTCTCTGGCTGATACATACGCTGGCCTGTGTCCTTGTGGGCCCCCTTCTAACAGTAAGAGTTGCGAGAAAAAGTGCCAACATGCTCAGAATGACATTTTGTTTATACACTCTATCACCACCAGGACTGTTTAGCTTCAGTAAAAGGAAGATATAATGTGCCCACAGCAAGGTGAATTTCTTATACGCTGAAACACTAACAAACAACTTATAAAACACACAGAAGTAAAACCTACTTGTGAAAAAGTTACTGTCAAAAAAGAAGCTTAATTGTCAATGAAATATGTTAGAAGCCATTCCTATCCTTGACTATTCTTTCCCTAGCATTTTTGAAACCCTTTCAAAGTGGAAGGTTTTTTCCACGTGAGCATCTGAAAGGCATCTACTCTGGGAGGGGCTGCCTTACCTACTCACAACACTGTAGGTTTTAGCATTAAAAAAGGACATTTCCTGTCTTTCCAGGACCATCCACAGAATGACCATGTATGCAGAGCACTGTACTCTTTCAGCAACAACAGAACAAATGCGATTTCCCTTGAATTAAAAAAGTTGCCAGAATATTCTGGCACACACTAACTCTTCCTCACTTTTTGTTCCCTTGCTCTTCAAGAATGCTATAGCAACTAATATTCAACTGTCTTTTAAAGGGCATTAGGTAACATTACTACAATATACTGTGTGTTTATTCTTACTTACCCCAATAAATACAAGTAAGGTAAACAGTTCCAACACGGAGAGTTCACATTGTATCTCTTTGTTACTTCTGGCCATTTCTCCCTTCTTCAGATGGTATTTGTTTTGCTGCTTCACAGGGGCTGAAACTTATTTAAATTCTTTTCCTATAATTTCGAAGTCTGCATATTGGCCTCAAGGAATTCCTAAGACTTACCAAGAATACAAGATGCACCCAATCAAGAGGAGAGTACCCAGCGTTGTCACCAAGTTTTCATCTCTATATAGGTCCTGACCAAAGTTGGGCACACAAATGGTAACATTCTTCCCATGTTCATCCAGAGCTTGTATAGAAAACAAAGTAATAAGAGTTCAATTAGAAAAGCCTATTGTAATTCATTCACAAGAGCATTCATTTGGGGAAAATTCAGGTAACTCTGGTGTGACTCCTTAATCATTGGAACCTTCTACTGTATCGTCCAAGTCTATTCAGACTAGGTTTTTGTTATTTCAATGCACCACTCTTCAACATTGGCAAACACTTGGAGCAAGACTCTCACATTCCAGATTACTGCGAAAGGGAATAATTGAAGAGAATTTCTCTTTTTTAGTACTCTTCAAACAATACTGAAAAGAAAAAGTCAGATCCATTTTTCACTTGATTTGGGAGCTGCTGAAGACGGAGGGGCAGGGTGCTGAGCCAGTCACAGCTAACTCACAGGAGCAGTATAAAGCCTCCTGGCCCAGGCTCCTAAACCAGAGATGTCAATTTATGTAGGTAACACAAAGGTCCTGACCTCTTTTAGTCTATCACTTAGGTCTGAACTTTGAAAAAATGTGAAAGGCTACATATAAAGATTTCTGTAAGTGGGGCACAGTGTCACCCACCTATAATTAATTCCAGCAGCTCCCTAGGCTGAGGCAGGAGAATCACAAGTTCAAAGGCAGCCTCAGCAACTAAGCAAGGCACTAAGCAACTCAGTGAGACTCTATCCCTAAATGATATATATAAAAGGGCTGGGGATGTGGCGCAGAGGTTAAGCAGCCCTGAGTTTAATACTGGGTACCAATAAGAAAAAAAAAAAAAAAGATTTCTATAACATTACCACCAGTGGTAATTTACTTTTTGTCTATCCTGCTGTGGTTTAAAAACCTCTTTATCCTTAGGCCAATGAAAATTTTTGAACAAACTATAACTTTTCTATCTAAGTGGTGCCACCTGAAGAAATAAATGTGTTTTGCTATTTTAAAAATACTGTAAACAAAAATCCCATTAAGTAAAAACAAGATTAACATACAAACAAAAGTCCCATTAAGTTAAAACTGGAGATTAATATACAAACAGTCATAAAAGAAAACCTGAAAGAGAAATGGATTTAAATAAATGTATAGAATCAAAATAGGCCCTTTTCTTTTTTAAAAATTAAATCCAGAATAGTCTAAACTTACTGTAAGACTTCTAATTATATCACTTTTCGTTATAAATAGCTATAAAGGCAATTCACAAAAATGGTATCCATATATGCTAAAACCTTCAAAATTATCATTGCCTTTGCTTTCAAAATTTAAAAGACTTCAATTTTCTAAAGAGATTACATTTACTCAATTAATATAAGATGAAACATAGTCCCAAACACACATATTCTTATGTGTATGTGTGTATATATGTGTGTATGTGTATCACAAGTAATAAAGGTAAGGATAAAATATAATGAGCTTGAAATCAAAAAGAAAACTTGATCCTTTACTGGCAATTCTTGGGAGTCTATATTAATATCACAGGATATGAGTGTTTTCAGCTTAAAACCCCCTTTTACATAATCCACAATTCTACAATAGTAGCAACTAACCCTTACATAGAAACTACTATGTGCCAGGAATGGTTCTAAGTGATTGATATATATAACTTGACGGCATTCTCACTAAATTCTTAAAAGCACTCTAATGAACCAAACTATAAACCCAGGCAGTCTGACTCCAAAGATCACACTAACCACTATGTTCTGCTGTCTCTGTAAATAAATGTCATTTAAGATGAGCAGTCTGAGGTCACCCACCAACAAGTGGTGGATCTGGATTAAAATCCTGTATTCTGCTTCCTTCTCCTGCCATATTCTTTCCATTTTGTCTCTGTTACAGAGAAATAAGCTCCTGAAGAAAATTAATAACCAACTAAAAATATAAATAACGCAAAAAAAAAAAATTCCTTGAGAACAATACAGCAGCTAAATACAAAATAGACTAACAGCAAGAAGACCCAGAAGAAGGAATTTTCATTATAGCCCAAGTTAAAGACTTTGTTTCTTGAAAAAGTCATCATCTTCAATTTATTGAATCTTGGATATTTTAACAGCAGCTCATGAAAATATTCACACCACAGACACGTGCTTCTAACAAGGCTGGCTTACCTACTTCTACAGGTTTGCTAGACAGAGCTGAGAAAGTGAGGTATGTGACGTAGCAGCTGATAAGCCCTGACTGCAGCAGCCCGGAATGTGGCTGACCTAGAAAACAAGAGACAGAGTGAAGATCAGTCTTAATAGGCCCCCTCCCCCAGCCCCAGCCCAAATTACACTCTTTCAACTTGAAGGCGCACCTCTGGGAGAGAAAAGACATATATAATGTGTTTCCCATATAGAACTTAAAATTCAGGGGGAGGGAGTTATACACCCAGCCTAATGCTGCTATTTCAGACATGCCAAATTCTGCCAAGTTCTCCACCAACACCTTATCAAATTTGTAACTATCCATAAACACACTGCTTAGTTCCCCTGAAGTTTATAACTTTAGTTCTTAAACCACAAGATCAGGAAAAAAAATTTATCACCATTATTTTCGAGACTACATAACTTAGCAGAGTAAATAAGACAGATTTCTCAGGGTGTGCATCCTGGATGATTCTACTAGACCATTAGATACTCTGTAGTCCAAGATAGCAAACCCTCCCACCCCTACACACACACACACACACACACACACACACACACACACACACACACACAATGCCTTATCTGTCAATGGAAAAAAAAAATGGGGAGGGGTGGGGCACACTGAATGAGTACAAAAGATGGTCCAGGCTAAAGAAGAAAGGTATGAGGTTTGGTATACATTGGGAGAAGAGCTTTAAAGTTATAATATTTAAATTAAAACTTTGTGTTTGGATCATTCAGAGTAACCAGTATGTGCCAAGGGATTTTCTCTTTTTGGTGAAATTTTCAACTATCTGTTGACATGAAAATATTCAGCCTTCCCTCTGGTTAAATTTGTTTCCAAAATTATCATTCTTGAATTATAATTATCCATAGATGTATAGGAATAGACTCACTTATAATATTGTTCTTTGTCCTGGGAATAAGATCTGACTTAGCAACTAATGACATTAAACCAAATATTTCAAAATGATAAACCTATTTCAAAAGGCAGGGTTTAACCCAAAGGAGATTTTAATCTAAACACCAAGAGTTTGATCACTATTTTAGAAAGGATTCAAGTGGGCTGCAAACTTACTGTCCATATTTGTCTTTTCCTACCTGGAAATCTGAATGTCCTATGCATGTGAAACATCTATACAATGAGATCACTACAAGAAACACCAGACCAGGAATATCTCTCTAACCCAAAGAGAGAAATCAGAGACATCAGAGGTAATGTACAAATGACAATGCACACTTCTACTTTCTGAAGCAATTTTCAAACCACGTGGCCTATTCCTTTGGGGCTTTGAAACACCGTAAGCAAGGTCAGGCTCACATGTTTCTGCTGACTTCCTTGAAGAAGAGCCTGGGCCTGAGGAAGGTTAGTTAACAAGGCAAGCTGCTGCCGGGATAGGAGTTCCTACTTCCTGAAGCCTAGACCACACTGTCATTGCTATCTGGTCCACAGCCTTGTGTGAAAGATGACCCCAGAAACAGCTCCTTCCAGAGCCCATCACCTAAGTTTCACCCAGAAATCACAGACAAAACTCATAAACAACTTGCTTAACATACTCTAAGTACACTTCCATTTAAAGCCTCCTTCATTAAGTTCAGGCTTTTTTGGCCACAGGTAAACCTGGTTATCACAGGTACAGAACATGAAGAGGAGATTGGCACCCCATCCCTCCTCCTGCTGACCCATCTACAGTAGGTTAAAGAATGGCCCTGGTTTCACAAAACCCCACTGAGTTTGTTCAAAGACATTTAGAAACGTGCAAGAAAAGAAAAAAAAAAAAGTGTACTTACGATTCTGGACACAGGGTGAGATGGCTACCATTGAAATAAGCAGGCACAGGCCTCCGTTTAATCCCAGGATAATCTTGTTCTCCATGCAGCCGACTTTCTGTGTATAAAATACTGCCATCACAATCAAGCCCCCGACGGCAACGGAGTACATGATGAGAGTCACCAGGGACAGGGAGGCGTACCACAGCTTGTTACTGGTGGTGCCTGCAGTCCTGTTTCTCCAGGAAGGGGGTAAAACAGAGGAGAGAGAAGACAAATCAGTGAAGACCTCCACTCTTGCACGTTTTCCATCCCTTGGGCATTAACTAATGCCACCAAGCCCCATCAAGGCCACCATTCCATGTCAAGAAACACCTTTTAGCAATGATTATGCTCCATCACAGCTAGAAAGTTCCTGTAAATATGTGAACTTCTTGGTTCAGAGTAGGAATTTTCTCTACTGAAAGAATTTCATTTTCTGATTCAAGTATTCTCATGGACTAAGATGAATACCCATAGAGTTTATTCTAGCTTCTCCACTCTACGTGTGAAATGTCCCAGCACAGGTGCTAGAAGTATTGAGGTAGGAGGCAAGGGTGGCTCTTCCCTGAGATTCTCTTCAAGTTTCTCTATAGATGTAGAATCCAGATCTGCCACAGTTGCTTGCTCCAAGAACTGTCAGCAGCTCTGCTAAGGTAAAGCCAACTTGAAGCAAGTCTGGTTGGCCCCAGCTCCTTTCTCCCTGTACTAAAAGGAGGATTGGCAACTGGATTGGAAAATAATATCAGAAAATATTAAAGAAGAAATGGGCATTTTTAAAAAGTAAATGCAATCAGGCAAAGAAAAAATTTACTGGTATGAACCATAAACAAACTCCTTTGAAGAATTAATGATATATATAGACACACACACACACACACACACACACACACATATATGAAGAGATATGTGTGTGTGTGTATAGTATTAATAAAGGGATAGGGAAAATAGGTGGTTTAAATTCACAGAAATTATTCAGAACAAAGAAGATTGTTCCTAAATGCTGAATGGAGGACAGAACATCAGGGTGACTGGATTAAATCACTGTCATCTGCCTCATGACTCAATTCCTTTCTGTGACCACATTCTCCCGAACTGTCACTCAGAAAGCAACTTGCTTAACGTTTTCATGAAACTGGAAAGTGTTCAAACAACCCAGCTAAAATTTTTAATGATGGAAAAGTTACTGTTGCCAGAGACAGGGAAAACAGGAAGGAAAGGCCAAAATGATAATGACCATCGTATTCCTGAAACTAAGCCAGGAATGTCACAGAATTATTCAAACATAAAAAGCACATGAAGGAAATGAGAGAAAAGGAGACTCAAAAAAGGGAGGGTAAATTACAGAACCAAACAATAATCGAAGGACACAGAGTGAATTATACATAAAAAGGTGACCATGGCTGACTGGTGTGTGGGTAGGAGGGTCTGACTTTTTCTCCACTAGATGTAATTTGTATATGAAGAATTTTCTTATAGTTTCAGATTTATATTCCCAAAGTTTAATCTTCAGCCCTAACCTGCCCCCTGAACTCCAGACTCATATTATTCAATGTCTCCACTGAATGTTCTGATTGGCATCTCAAACTCAGCATATCTAGGCCAACTTCCCTGTGTGTGCGCCTCCTTCCCCCAAACATGCTCACGTGCAATCTTCCCAGTCTCAAAGAACAGAATTGCACTCTGCCATTGTTGGGAGGAAGACAGGGCAGAAACAGAATAAAGAGTTACAGTCACGCTGGACTTTCCCTGCCCCTCCCCCACACCAGAGCCCTCTCCGCTAGTTCCATCTTCAGATTATACCAGAATCCAACTGCTGCTGCCACCTTTCTCCAAGCTACCTCCTTCTCACCTGGCTCATCGCTCAGTGGCTTCCTTACCTGTACCTATGACCCTCCCTGATCTTAAGAACAGATTAGATTATATTCCTCACCTTCAAAACTCCTGAGTGTCCCATCTTACTTAAACACTAAAACCTTTATGCTGGCCCCCAAAGGCATAGCAATCTGGCCCAAAGCCAGCTATGATTTCATCTCCCTCATGCTTCCTTTATCATTGGGTCCCAGCCACAGTGGATGCCCCTTTGCTCCTTAAAGGCACCCAGCAAGTTTAAGGCCAAGCTGAGTCCTGCCCCAGGCTCTCACTCACAAAAGGATAGCCTGCCCTCCTCTCCCAAGCTCTCTGCAGCTTTATTTTTCACTCGTGTACCTACCTATTGCCCATTTGCCTGATTCTGTGTTGACTGTCTATATCCCCTCAGGACAATGTTAAGTTCCACAGGACAAGCCCCGATTGTATTCCCTGCAATGCTGCCACTGTCAAGAATGATGCATAGAAAATGAGAGGTGTTCACTCCCAAGACTGTTACCTGTTTTAAAAAAATCACTTTTGGTGGTAATCTTAACAGAGAGGCTGCCACCCTGCTACTCCAACTTCATTTGGTCCTCCTGATGTCCTCTTGTTTTTGGAGACAGCCCAAATAAGGACTGTGATCTATTTATCTTTGTACTCTCCATGCCAACCACAGTGCTTTCTGGCTCACAGTTAATAATCTGGCTAAATGCAAAGCACTGAGATGGAGAATAGAAAAGAACCAGGCAACATTAGCAGCATGCGGGCATCAGGCTGGGATGTCACCAGGGTTCCGGCTTAAGGCAGGGTTAAAATTAAACTAAACCAGGAGAATGAATTTAAGATCAGTACATTTAGAAATATGTGAATATTTATACAAAATCGGAGTTAGAAAAACATTTTTAAACATCTAGGTTAACCCATCACGTTATTTTACAATGCCTAAATCAAGGTCAGAGGCCAAATGATGGACCTAAAGTGAAATGGATGAGGGACACTAAAATTTGCGTTCTCCTGGCTTCCAGGTCCATGGCATTTCTCTCTCTTTCTTTCTTTCTTTCTTTTTTTTTTTTTGTGGGGTGGGGGGATACTGGGGATTGACCTCAGAGGTATCTGAGCCACATCTCCTGCCCTATTTTGTATTTTATTTAGAGACAGGGTCTCACTGCGTTGCTTAGCACCTTGCTTTTGCTGAGGCTGGCTTTGAACTCGCGATTCTCCTGCCTCAGCCTCCAGGGCTGATGGGATTACAGGTGTGTGTCACTGCACCAGGCCCATGGCATTTCTATCCTACTGCTTTGGGGATCTTCTCCTTCTCAATATATTTACAAGAAATGAAACTTAAATGGAAATGGAATCATCCCAGATACCTGTCAATGGATGAATGGATCAAGAAAATGTGGTACACACACACAAATGCCATAATTTAATTGTTCTTTATGAGTTTTACTCATCCATAAAGAACAATTAAATTTTGGCATTTGCTGGTAAGTGGACAGGAATGTAGAATATTATGCTGAATGAAATAAGGCAGACTCAAAAAGTCAAGGGTCAAGTGTTTTCTCTCACATATGAAAGCTAAGGCAAAGTAAGGGAAAGAAGGCAGGGGAGAGGGGTGATGGGGTATCAAAAAGACATAGGAAAGATCAGTGGAGTAGAAGAAGGGCTGGGGCTGTAGCTCAGTGGCAGAGCGCTTGCTTAACCTGTGAGGCCCTGGGTTCGATCCTCAGCACCACTTAAGAATAAACAATAAAATAAATTGTTCTGTCGGCCACAACTGAAAAAAAAAAAAAAAAGGAGAACACAGAAAGGGGAAAAGATACAGAACAAATGTAACAAAATCATGTTATATGAATATACCACAGGTAATTTCACATTAATGTATCTGTAGAAAGTACCAATAAAAAATAAATAAATAAATAAACAAGTGAAAGGAAGATCCATTGAGTAGAGGAAGAAGAATAGGATGGAGGGAAGGAAAAATGGGGGAAATAGGGATTAAAATCAAATTCCAGGTGCATATGATTTTGTCAAAATGAACCCAACAATTGGGGCTGGGGTTGTGGCTCAGTGGTAGAGTGCTTACTAGCATGTGAGAGGCACTGGGTTGGATCTTCAGTACCACATAAAAATAAATAAATAAATAAATAAGGTATTAAAAAAATGAACCCAACCACCACGTAAAACTATATACTCGAATAAAAAATTTTTAAAAAATGGAAAGTACTTTTGTTGTTCCATCAGAAGCATATTTTCTAGGTTAACCTTGTAAGAGTTTCTCTTAAAAAACACAGGAAGGCAGGTGTGGTTGCACACTCTAGTAATCATAGCAACTCAGAAGGCTGAGGAGGAAGGATCACAAATTCAAGGTTAGCCACAGCCCCTTAGCAAGATCCTGTCTCAAAATAAAAAAATAAAATTTTGGGGATATAGCTGATTGGTAAAGTGTCCCTGAGTTCAATCCTAGTACCCAAAACCAAAACAAACAAATAAAAACCCCTGGGTTTGATCCCCAGGATTGCAAAAGAAAATAAACAAAAAACCCAAAACCAAAAAGACTACTTTATTAGATAGAAATAAAAGAAAAGAACAATATTAGTAAGCTTCCTATCTTATTCCTAATCTTAGGTAGACAAAGCAACTACAAATATGTTGACAAAAAGGGTTTTTGTTGGGATTTTGGCCTCAAAGTCAGGGTAACAGCAACATTATTTGTTTCAAAGCTCTTAAGTTATTCTTACTGAGTAGTTTCTAGAAAGTTTTTTAAACAACCAAACTCTTCCAAAGTGCCTGTTAAAATCTGGCATCAATAATTGGTCCCAGGGCTGGCGTTGTGAGGTAGTGTGCTCGCCTAGCAAGCTCGATGCCCTGGGTTCAATCCTCAGCACCACAGACAAACAAATAACGGTATTGTGTCCAACTACAACTAAAAAAATAAATATTTAAATAATAATAATAATTAATCCCAGAAAATGGTTTCGGAATTATTGAAGTTAGAGTGAAGAGGCATAAGAAGTATTCTCTGAGAAAGGCTATTTTATGGGCAAATCAGGTCTTCAGTCTTTAAGATGCTAATATTTTACCATGAAGTACCCTAATTTTAGGATGGCATGCTTATTTTGTCTTTAAAAAAGTCACAGTGAAAGAACATACATCAAGAATTACTGGGACCAGGCAATGGTGGCGCACACCTATAATCCCAGCGGCTCGGGAAGCTGAAGCAGGAGGATCACGAGTTCAAAGCCAACCTCAGCAACTTAGTGAGGCCCTAAGCAACTCAATGAGATCTGTCTCTAAATAACATACAAAAAAACAGGGCTGGGAATGTGGCTTAGTAGTCAAGTGACCCTGAGTTCAATCCCCAGTACCAAAAATAAAAAATAAAAAAGAAAGAATTATCGGGGAATGATATTAATTAATTAAAATGCATTTCCAACATATTATGGGTATTTCTTCTGTGCAGAAGAGAAAATAGAGAGATGTAAAACTACAGTTCACCCATTTGATTTGTTTTATAAGAACTCTATTGCCTCAAAACAAGATCTAGGAGAGACCACAACATGAATTACTAGGTTTTGAAGAAGACTAAAAACACAGGCAGCATGCACTAACTTTACAGTATGACTCAACCAGGAAATCCATATAATTGTAGAGATTAAGACTTAAAAAAAATTCTAAAACATCTGTAGTGCTGTGTGTTTTGACTATGCAGTATGCTGTAAACATTTTAAAAACTGATCTTATTTGACTGTGCTTAATCTAATATTTACCAAATACTAAATTATTGTTTTAATTTTTATGTGTATGTGTGGTGCTGGGGATTGAACCCAGGGCCTTGTGCATGCAAGGCAAGCACTCTACCAACTGAGCTATATCCCCAGCTCATAATAAATTATTAACACTATCCTTTTACTGATGTATCCCTGCATATCTCATTATCTGATTTTTAAAATAGAAAAGCAGAAGAAAAGAACAACTACCAAGCCGAAGAATATACTCAAAAAAACAAAAAAAAAAAAAAAAAAAAACAAAAAAATTGAGAGAATGTGGACAGTGTATTTGTTTTGCCTTATCCAAGTTAAAAAAAAACTCATTCATGACACTTTCTGATTTTTTTTTCAAAATTCAGTATAAAAGAAAATGATGGCCACAAAATCTACAAAAAAAAAAAATCTTATTGGGTGTATTGGGTGTAAGAAGGGGTTATTTTGGAAACAAAAACAAAGTAAAGCCAGGTGCAGTGGGACACACCAGTAAATCCTACATATTCAGGAGGATGGTTGGTTAGAGGCCAGCCTGAGCAACTTAGTGAGACCTTGTTTCAAAAATTCAAAAAGGGCTGGGGATGTAGCTTAGTGGTTGTGACCCTGGGTCCACTCCCTAGTGGACAAAAAAAAAAAAAAAAAGCAGTGGGGGGTGGGGACCTGCAAAGAAATTAAGACAGAAAGTAAGACAGAAAGCAAGAAAGCAGTTAAGTGCTTGGTCCAAAATCAGAGAGAAAAACAAAACAAAGAGAATAAATTTGGCTTTAGAACTTGGCCTGTTGATTGTCTGGTTGTCATTTCCTCCATGTAGCTCAACAACAACCACAAAAAATATCTATTAATAGCTGGGCACTTCCCATTCAGCCTGGGCTAAAAATTCTTTTTTCAAGGCACTTAGAAAATAGTCATCTTTTTTAAAAGGCAAGATGACTTTCAAAGGTAGGACAACAGATTTTCTAATGAAGGGATCTTTCCCTTGTTGGCAAGTTGAGATGAAACACAAATTTTGGGGAGGTACCAGGGATTAAACTCAGAGGCACTTGACTACTGAGCCACATTCCCAGCTCTATTTTATATTTTATTTAGAGTCAGGCTCTCCCTCAGTTGCTTAGCTCCTTGCTTTTGTTGAGGATGGCTTTGAACTCACAATCCTCCTGCCTCAGCCTTCCGAGCTGGCGCTGGGATTACAGGCATGTGCCACCATGCCTGGCGAAACACAAAATGTTTTAAAAGGAAAGAAATAAACTGACACATGCCAATAATCCCAGTGACTCAGGAAGGCTGGCAAAATTTGGAGGACAGCCTAGACAATTCAGCAAGACCCTGTCTCAAAATAAAAAATAAAAAGGCCTGGGGATATAGCTTTGTGATAGTTGAACCCCTGGATTTAACTCCCAGTACCACCAGAGCAAAAAAAAAAAAAAAAAAAAGAAAGAAAGAAAGAATGAGAGAGACCAAAAAAAAAAAAAATAGTATATCATACACTTTACAGAAGATAAATCTTCAGCTCCATAGTAGTCTGTTTTGTTTTTAACATTATAAGGATAGAAGCCTAAGATGAAGATGAAGTCTAATTACATTTAGAGCCACCACAAAAACTGCAGAGCTGGAACTAATTTTTAGGTACCAGCAATGGGATCAGTGTGGCTAACTTACATCACTGGTTGACAAGAGAGTCCAGAAAATAAGTGTAAGAGGAAAGGGTGGAAATGACGGAGAAACAGTATTGGTGATGTAGCTTAGTGGCAGAGTGCTTGCCTCGAACCTGTGAGGCTCTGAGTTCAAGCCCTGGAATCACACACATACAAAAAGAGTGGGAAGGGGCCGTGTTGGAGAGGTTCAAAGCACAGATGTGAAGGAAACATGCTGGCATGTTGTTTTTGCTATAAAGAGACTGCTCATCTCATGGCAGAGTCTTTCTTAGAAGCAGGCAGTTTCTCTGAGTCAATGAGCAAGCTGGGTTGGAAGCTTTTCATAAGAGTACATACCAGTTTTTGTTCCATTTATGTGCAAACTCCACAATCAGAAGGAGCTGGATACCTATAAAGATGAAGCCTCCAAAGGCTCCCACGTAGCGCCAGGCTGCAAAAGAAGACCGCAAGGAGCCAATGAGAAGCACTCCATGTGTTCAGTTCAAAAGAAAGAAGTAATTTTCACTGAATACTCATTGTACCTGTGACACATTCCATTCCCACACAATCACATAAGGGGGTACTATTATTAAATTCTCTTGCTTTCCAGATTTAAAAAAAAAAAAAAAAAACTGAGAGGCTGTGTGAGTTAACAAAGGCTCAGAGCCAGTAAAAGGCACAGCTGGGATTTGAACACGGGCCATTTGGCTCTGGAGCATTGAAGCTTACGCTCCACACTCAACTGCTAGACACCCCGTCAGATGCAGTCATTCGCACTATCCACAGTGGCCCACAATTTAAAAGCAACGACACACATCACCAGAAAAATCAAGGGCTTAACTCTTACTGGCTAAGGAGTTACCAGTGTCCAGGGAGGAAATGAGGTTCAGACTCGGGGAAGAAGAACAGAGCTCTCCTTTTGGCTCTGCCTAACAGAAGCTATGACCTTGGGTGAAGAAACATGTCATGCGGGCTACAACTTGTCTGTGAAAACGACAGAGCTGAGGACTGCTGGGTCTCTTCTCCTTCTAAATATACTATCCTAAACATGCTCAATATACATAACAGTAACTCTGGAGAATAATAAACTAGTTCTGAGAGTGTACAGATAAAAGCAAGACTTGGATACAATATTCTTATGAAAAACTAGTATAATCCTAAAAATTTAGGTGGCCCTATCTGAGGGACTTGGGCTGTTCCTTATGAACTGGTATGATGTGAAAATTTTTAATATCTTAATTTAGAAAAGTGAATCCATTTGAGTTGAACAGAGCATTTGTTTTGAACTACTGAGATTCAGAGTCCCCAAGCCCCTTCCACTCTAGCTCCTATGGAGAAGGGAGCCCTGTTATAGCTATGATTACAGGCCTCATGTTAAATGAATTTAGGTGGGTTCACCAGGTGTGGTGGCAAATACCTGTATTGCCTCAGCAACATGGGAGCCAAGGCAGAAGTTTTGCAAATTCAAGGTCAGCCTGGGCCCTGAACTTTAGCAAGACCCTGTATCAATTTAAAAAATAAAAAAGCTCTGAGGATATTGTGGTAAATGCTCCTGGGTTCAGTCTCTGGTACTAAAGAAAAAAGGAGAAAAAATAAAAAGAAGATTTTTGGTGGGTTCTGTCAATAAGGAACTTGATTCGATGTAGGCTTAGAAACAGATTGGAGGCGCTGGGCACAGAGGTGCACACCCAAAACACACCTGCAACCCCAGCCGCTTGGGAGACTGAGGCAAGAGGTATCACAAGTTTGAGGCCAGCCTCAGCATCTCAGTGTGACCCTGACTCAAAATAAAAAATAAAAAGGCTGGGATATAGCCAGTGGTAAAGCACCCTGGGTTCCAAACCGAGTACAGACTAGAAGATGCCTTCTGTATCCCACCTCCATTGCTAAAAGGCTCTGTTTCCTGTGCACTACTCAAGGAAAGAGGTCTCTGTGGGCTGATGGGGTCAAGCTGAAAGGCCAAACAGGTTTTCAAACAAATTTTAAGTGACTCATTTTCCCTTCAGGCCAATGACCTTAAAATAATCATTTCAATTCTTCAGCCAACAGAGACACAAAGGTCCTCCTAAGAGTGCCTGTAAGTGGGGGGCAAGGAGAGGTGCAGGAGATCTACAGTGTGGGCAGGTAAGGCTGGATTGATCGATTGATTGAGGCCACAAGAAAATCAGTAGTTCAAAATATCAAAGGCCTCCTGGATGAGGCCTTTGAACAATTTCACTAAATGGATAAAAATAAATAAATAAACAGGCACCCCCCCAACTCCCCATTTGTACCTTTGAGAAAGGTCTCCTGGTCTGGAATGAAGAAAGCTCCTGAGCACATGGCCCCCAACAGCAGAAGTTTAAAGAACCAAAAGCTGGGAGGGAGGAAAGGAGAGGAAATGTATTTAAATGATATTCAAAGGAGAACAAAAGACCTCTTGAAAGGTGGCATGTCAACCCATGATTCTGCCATTGCTAATGTTCTCTCCAAATCGAGGGGAAGTAATTAAGTGACTGAAGAATGCCTTTTCTCATAATTAGACACGCTTGGAACAGCCTCCAATTGTGCAAAACACCACTTCATTGCAGGACTGGAAGTGACCCAGAGAAGGTCTTAGTACAAGAAATAAACTCTTTGCCTCCACTGACTTTTTCATTATGGCACCAGGTGTTAGGAACAGCATTCCGGCTGTAAGGCCACTGGGTAACAAACAGAAGTTGTACTTTCCTCAAAATCAGGATCAACTATAGGAAAATCAGTTAACATGGTCAGGAGTAGAAGGGACCCTGGAACACCATATAAGGAAGGAGAAAGCAACCCCAGGGAGACTGAGGACTTACCCATTGTGAATATGGGCTCTGCAGCTTTTACTGTTGTTGATTTTCAAGGTCAGCAGGCAGAAGAGAAAGAAGAAACACGCCATTCCAAAGCAGACTCGGTACACTGCAGAGTACCCCACCAGCGTCTCACAGGTGTCACCAGCTTTAATGCCTTTGCAAATATCTTCAAAAAAAGGAATCTGAGTGGAAAAATAGTGTAGAAAAGTTGTCTGTTAAAATGGGGTTAGAAAAGCTAGGATCAGTAAGTAGTGCACACCTGTAATACCACCTACTCAGGAGGCTGAGGCAGGAAAACTGCAAGATCAAGGCCAACCTGAGCAACTTAGCAAGACCCTACCTCAAAAACAAACAATAAAAAAGGGCTAGGGGTGTAGCTCAGTGGTGAAGAAGCCCTGGGTTCGATCACAGGCCAGGGGTAGCAAGAGTGGGGATTGGGTTAGATAGGGACTCAGAGAATGTTCATTCAGTCTGAAGTCAAAATCCACTGTGGAAATGAATCAGGTAGGTAACAAGATGAAGACTGAGGAAGAAAATCTTCTGGAGAATTTTTCTTAATTTTCTCTGAATCCTTTTTTAAAGATGCACTCTCAAAAGTACCACTTAGGGGGCTGGGGTTGTGGCTCAGTGGTAGAGCGCTTGCCTAGCATGTGTGAGGCACTGGGTTGAATTCTCAACACCACATATAAATAAGTAAATAAAATAAAGGTCCACCAACAACTAATAAAAATATTTCAAAAGAAAAAAAGTACCACTTAGCTTTTACTTGCTCCAAAGGTTTCTGAAGTTTAGCATCAGAATTTTCATTACATTTGTAATACATGATTATATTTTTATTGAATGCACAAATATAGAGAACAAAAAGAGAGAGATTACATTCACTAACACCTCTTTCTTCTCGGGAAAGTAAACAATCTCATGGATAGGAGAATTTTATTAATTCACATATATAAAATTATGTATATGCATATATACAACACACATATACATTCATATAATCCTACACATATGGTAGGATATATAATACATATATAATACATATATATACACACGTATATAATATATACATATATAATATATAATACATATATAATATATGATACATATATAATATATAATACATATATTATATATGTGTATATATGTATTAAATATACATATACATATGTATTATATATGTATATATAATACATACATACACATATATAATATATATACATATATGGTATATATAATACATATAATATATACACATATATTATATGAATAGCTTTTTAAAATAAAATATTTGGGCTAGGGATGTAACTCAGTGGTAGAGCACTTGCCCAGCATGAGTGAGGTCCTGGGTTGGATCTTCAACATGGCAAATGATAGGAAGGAGAGAAGGAAGGAGAGGGAGAGAGGAAGGAGAGGAAGGGAGGGAGGAAGGAAGGGAATCAGGGAGGGAGGGAGGGAGGGAGAAAGGAAGGAAGGAAGGAGGGGAGGGAGGAAATATTGTACATGATGTTCTGTGGTATTTTTCCCCCAAATTAACAGTAAGTCATGGAGCTCTTTGCCTGTTAATATATGTAATCCCACCCCATTTTTTTAAACCATCATATTTTATAGTAAGGTTAGATAAAGATGATGATCATTCCCACACTGACTATTTTTATTGTGAAGGGGTTTTTGTTTCATTTTGTCTTGTATATTTATTGTCTGCTATTACAGACACTGGTTCAGTACACATTGCTGGACATGCCTCGTTGCATATCTACCATTATTTAGGCAGCTTAGACCACTGAGCTAGAAATTAGTGGGTCAAGTGGTATCTACATTTTAAAATTTCAAGACATAAAGCTAAATCATCCTTTTAAAAGGTATAACAACTTACAAAATCTTCCACAAAGAGAACAAGTGTTACAGGGCTGGGGTTGGCCGGGAAACTGAGGCCAGGCTCCCCGCTCCAAACCCCAGTTCCTGTGATCACATCAGAAGGATTTCAGACATGTTGCTCGGAGTAACAGGCATGAGTTTATTAGAAGGGGAAAAGGAAACACTCTCAAGAGAGAAAGCAGATCTTCAGAAAGAGGGCTGGAGCACCCCTCCGGCCCTCTATTTGACTGGGAGTCCCAGTGTTAGCGGACACAAGTGCAAATGCTTTCTTTGCCAAAAAATAATTTATCTGCAGTCCTGCCTCGCCGCCTAAGGGGGAGATATTTGTGACCCTTTTTGCAGACCAGATCTTGGAACTCAGGGAAATAAGGATGATTCTTCCTAACCATAAAATCTCTAGGAATGTATGATTAAGAATGCAATTAGAATCTATCAGCATGAGCCAAAGTGACCTAGAGTTGTTATGGCAGTCAGGACTTAAAAGTCTCATATCACCCTCCTGTCAATCAAAAGTCAAGAGGCAGACTTGGGCAGGACTCTCTGGAAACTTCTCTTGGATCCCCAATAAAATTGGAGTACAGGAGAGGACCCATGATCTTCCTTGAAAGTGTCCCCTTTCCCTTCTCCTATCCCTTCAATAAACTCACGCCTGTTACCCTGAGTGATGTATGTGAAATCTTTCTGACTTGAAGACAAGAACTGGAGTTTGAAGTGAGGGGGATGTCTTCATGCTGCCTCAGTTTCTTGGAAGGCCCCAGCTCTGTAACACCAGAGTCCCGCCCAGGCCACCTGACTTCTGACTGACAGCACAGGAACTATGGGCCATGTCCAAGAGAGAATGGTGTGGCGCCCATGGAGCAGGAGTTTTTAAGGAAATTGGGTCATCCTGTTTTTGCCTCGATTTCCAGCTCCCTTAATTGGTTCATTATCCTTGAATAGCCCTCACCATGTTGTGTGAGGGTCTTGATGTTTGGCCACTAGGGTGATTGGAGGTGACTGGGGGTTGTGACATAGTTTAGGTAATAATGGAGAGTCCTGGACTTGGTTACAATAGATCATCAAGTCATGGTCATTAAGACTGAGAGAGCTTTTACCATGGCAAGCCCCTATTTTCCAAGTGTTTGTTAAATGGGCCACTATGTGACTTCAGGGACCCTTTATTCTCTTTTCCCTGCTCTCCCAGTCATGGCTGCATAGCTCCCTACTACAAGCAGCACATTTTTATGAATATCATAGAATAACGATTCAGCCAGTAGTTGAAAAAGAACTTGCTTCTAATCAACGTCAAAGGTGATCCCTCTTCAGAACAGAAAAGGAGTTAAAGATCACATTGTAGCAGCTCAGTTATTCATAAGAAAAAAATAAAAATGTCACCAAGGGAAATTATGACTCAAAAGCTGGAAGTAAAATTAAAGCATGAAAGAGAATTTAGTTCTCCTCCAGAAAAGCACTTTAAAACAATAACAACCAGGGTTTCCAATAAACAAGCAAAGATTTTTAAGAATAAGCCAGGCTAAGTTAAACTGGCTTTGGAATAAGAATTCTCTCCCCCTAAAAAGGTCTGAATTTGAAACGTTTTTCCAAACACTCTCAAATAAAAGGCTTGGGCAGGAATACATTGTGTCTCAGACCCTGTTAGTATAGCTCTATTCTCATGAACAGACCTGAAAGACGGTCAAGAAATGTCTGGTGTTTTGTTCCCAGAAAATTCCTAAAACTGCAAATTTTTTTACATCGGAGCAAGATGGAGGCCATAAAGAGATGCTATTGTATTTATTTGAACAGGCTACTGTGGGGTTTTGTTTGTTTGTTGTTATACATGACAGTAGAATGTATTTTGGCAGAATACACATATATAAAGTATAACTTATTCTATTTAGGTTCCCTTTCTTGTGGTCATGTATACAAATGCAAGGCTAGGAAATTATGATGAGTCAATTCTACTGTCTTTCCTAGTCCTCTCCCCTCTCTTCCCTTGGTCTAATCCAATGGATTTCTATTATTCCCCTCCCCAATCTCCCTTGTTTGTGGTTAGCATCCACCAATCAGAGAGAATACTTTGGCTTTTGGTTTTCTGGGATTGGCTTATTTCACTTAATATGATATTCACCAGTTCCATTCATTTACCAGCAAATGCCATAATTTCATTCTTCTTTTTGGCAGAGTAATATTCCATTGTGTATATATACCACATTTTCTTCATCCATTCATCCATTGAAAGATACCTGGGTTGTTTCCATAGCTTGGCTCTTGTGAGTTGAGCTGCTATAAACATGGATGTGGCTGTGTCACTGTAGTATGCTATTTTTAAGTCCTTTGGATATATGCCAAGGGGTGGGATAACTGGGTCAAATGGTGGTTCCATTCCAAGTTTTCTAAGGAATCTCCATACTTCTTTCCATAGCGGTTGCACCAATTTTCAGTCCCACCAACAATGTATGAAAGAACTTTTCTCCCCACATCCTTGCCACTACTTATTATTACTTATATTTTTGAGAACTGCCATTCTGACTAGAGTGAGACAGAATATAAGAGTAGTTTTAACTTGCCTTTCTCTAACTGCTAGAGATGTTGAACACTGTTTCATATATATTTTGACTAGTCATATTTCTTCTTCTGTCAAGTATTTGTTCAGTTCCTTTGCCCATTTATTGAGTTATTTATTTTTCTGATGTTAAGTTTTTTGAGTTCTTTATATATCCTGGAAATTGGTGCCTCATCTGAAGTACTGGTGGTAAAGATTTTCTCCCAATCTGTAGGATCTCTGTACATGCTCTTGATTGTTTCCTTTGCTGTGAAGAAGTTTTTCTGTTTGATACCATCCCACTTATTGATTCTTGATTTTATTTCTTGCGCTTTAGGAGTCTTGTTGAGGAGTTAAGGAAATCGATTCCCAAGCCAACGCGATGAAGAGTGGGGTCTACTTTTTCTTCTCGTAATTGCAGGGTCTCTAGTCTAATGCCTAGGTCCTTGATCCTCTTTGAGTTGAGTTTTATGCAGGTGAGATATAGGGGTTCAATTTCATTCTTTTGCATGTGGATTTCCAGTTTCTTCCCCCTGCACAAACCCTTAAAACAGACTGAAGTAGGGGACCCCTCTAAAACTGAGAGCAACTTCCTCAAGCTGGAGTGGAGGCTGAGGGGCTGGCCCTGCCCAGAGGCCAAGGCAGCTGAGAATGGAGGCTGCCCCCACCTTGCTTCCCCAAGCTGTCTAGCCAGCTGACCAAATCTGCTATGTCCTGCCTGATGTCCCATTTTGCCACCTCTTCTCTTTTAAAAGCTTTCTTTTTATTTCTGAAGTTGGAATT